TTACAGCTACCAGTCCTTTAATTATTAATACCAATCTTTGTATTAATAATTATAACAAACTAGTGGAGTAATTTCACAAAAAATAATTGAATATCAATTCAATAAAAAAAATTAATTAAAATTAAAGCCTTTAGAAAAATGTATATCGTATAATATACGTGCTCTATTTAGTTCAGTTAATAAAAAAAAATTACTATATGTCTATCTATGACTACTGTGGTTTTCTTGTAAAATTCCGAAGTAAGTTTGTGTTTTTTTTCGATTATAAAATTTTTTAGGAATATTGTTTTCACACCGTGTAGTATCAGTGTTTACCATTGACTTACAAATAAATGGACGACGGGTCTAATACAAAAACTACGAAAAAAATGTCCCAAGTCAACCTATTTAAACGTAGTGACATGTAAAGGAATATGAAAAAGCTAAAACGTTGAATTTAAATTGTTAATTTTGCTTGCTTCGCTGTCAGTCGAACAAACGAAGACTAAAGCGTGAATGACGCTCTGTATACGATTTTAACGCCCTATAAGTTCGGATACTTTTTAGTGCGGACCGGACGTCCATATAATTGTAAGTCAATGGTGTATACCCTCAATTTTACTGTAATATTATTTCCAAAGTGATTAATTCAACACTGTCAGTCTCATGCGGAATCATCGAGTATATAACCAGAAATAGAGACGAAATAACCGCTCACGCGATGCGCTCCTCCTACCGCAAAATGGCGGCTATTTGGTTTCGCAAATTAGAAAAGGATTCAGTTTAAATACAAGTTTTTATAAATAAAAAATATTATTCTGCATTGCTAAATAAATACCCTCCGTACTACTAACAAAAACATCTCAAATAAAATGCAGTAATACACCGCAAATCCTGCACTTAAAAAGCACTAATGAAATTTTTGGTGTACTTGGATAAATATGATAATATTCCGTTTGAGTGGTTCTAACGTTTACCATGAAATTACTCCTTAAAGTATAGTTTATAAACATTTATTTTCAGGGTAAACTTAAAAAACGCTACTTACGGTATGTTTTCAATAAATAAACACCGAAATCACCAGCCCAAATAATAACACACACGATTGTCGTGACGTATTTTTGAAGTTGTTTATTTTTTAAATGACAGACCCAGGCATTAAAAACTTTATGGTTTGCTAGAGTAGTTACCGAAATAGCAATTAATATTAGTTCTTTTACCTGTTATAACTTCGATATCCGATAAATCGGTATAAAACCATCACCGGCACCTCTAGGTGTGGTATGCGTTTACGGCTGCATGTATCGCGTGAGCGGATAAGGGCCATCCATCCCTGGCAACTCATCAGGCAAATCACATCAACAACTCTCGGTTGCGCTGAAATCACAAATTAGAAAGCTGAAATGGTACAGCTTCAACAACTGATCTATATGTACGTATCCGTATACTCCAAAAATATTCTGTATTTATATAATATCTCTAACAATGGGGGCTGTTCCATTTGGTGGTGTGGGAAAAACAGCAAAACATCTAATTACAAAACAAACGGAATCACATTTCATCGATAATTAAATATTAAATATGTAACTTTTCAATTTTCGTCTATTATACCAAAGCACAAGTTAAACTGGTCCATTTTAAGTGAAACAATTGGCAACACCCGTCAATTGTTTCGAATTCGGGCTGGCCAATCGGAGCGCAGTTGTCACCGTAATGATTTGGCAGAATAGTTTTCAAACAAATTAAATGACATTTCTTCTCTATTTTTGGTTATATAATCAATATGCGTAATCAACCAACGCATTCGAGTTCTCCATACCACAGATAGTAGCTTTGAAAAATATCAAAATTCCATCTTGTATCTATCTAGCCACTGGTCGTTGTAAATTACTGGTTTCATAGCACACACCAAAATAGGGAAGTGAAAAGGGATTTCCAATCTTACTACTAATCATATCTCACAAAAAGTACTAATCATATCTCACATGGAAGCATCACATAAAACGAAAAAGAGATGAAGTCAATCTCAAGTATGGCAACCTTCATTGGCTCGTGGGAAGAAATTCAGCATTATCAATAGACTATAAACTTCTAATACCACTCAGTCTTAAAACCCATTTGGATATACGGTATTCAGCCGTGGGGTACTTATATACTTTGTCTCCAACGAGTGCAGAATTGTGTCCCGAGGGCAGTGGTCAATGCCCCTTGGTTCACTCGTAATGAAGAGATCCATGTCCGACATAAAACTAAGCATAAGTAACGTCTATCTTGTCGCGGTCAAAGTCAAAGTCAAAGATTATTTATTCCATAGGTAAAATAAATTTACACTTGAAATCGTCACATTTAAGCTAGTGCTCGTTCGCTATGCTGACCTCCCTGAGAAGAACGCGCAAGAAACCCTAGGGATTGCTCTTTTCAAATAAACTTAAATGCTATGGAATACACTTTGAATCAAATTTGTGTGGATTCTGGATCCATGTTGTCTTTCCATACATCTTTATCTAACACGTAGTCTTCAATTTTGTAATATGATTTTTCGATCAAAATATTTTTAATGTAGTTTTTAAACTTAGGAAATGATAAACTTAATATATGCTCCGGAATCTTATTGTAAAAACGTATACAGTTCCCCATAAAAGAGTTGTTTACCTTCGTTAAACGAAATCGTGGTACCATGAGTTTGGACTTAGCTCTAAGGTTAATATTATGGATATCTTCTTTCTTATTGAAATTATGTATATTTTTACGATCATATAAAATATTTGAGTAAATGTACTGTGATGCTACAGTCATGATACCAGTCTCCTTAAACTTTTCTCTGAGAGAAACCCGAGAGCCTAGATGGTACACAGAACGAATCGCTTGTTTTTGCAATACAAATATGGTTTGAATATCTGCCGCTTTACCCCATATGAGAATCTTCGGAACTTCTAAACTAGATCCATCAACTATGGTCAAACGGTTTCAGCGAGACCATGTTCCATAGTTGGGAGGAGTGGCACTGGCCGCTCTACCAAAAACATACTATCTCGTTTAAAAGGTTCGCTTGTGGCTTGGCGGCCGATAGCAAATAAAATAATAATACAAAATAAATGTGCTAATGAGTACCAGAACAACGGAATTCTCTCTGGGGCACTTTCCAGAACATCCAGACTAGAACCAATTTAGAAAAATTCATTTCCCATTTTGGCCCAACAGGGAATCGAACCCGGATCTCGTCATCCAGCGCCAACAGTAGAAACCTTTAGGCCAACGAGGTCGTCAAAGGATGAAAAAGATGCTTTATTATTTTTATGAGTTTATTTTTAAGGCTATTTCGTCGTGAAGTTGACCTTTTGTCTTCTGTGACCTTAAACAAGCGTGGCAAGAGGCTTATTAGGTGACTCGAATTTAGTAGAGGCCAATGTACGGAGCCTTGAACACCGCCGTAAAGTAGCCTGCTATTCTACAGGATATATCACGGAGAATGTGCGATGGAATTGCATAATTTGGTTACGCCTTCCCCTTTCCATCATCGGGGGACTAGACGTGGGCTGGGATTCCACGCCTGTTGTGGATATTCTAAAGATTTACACAAAGACGTATATATTTAAATAGACACCGCAAGTACTGCGATCTGCATGAAAACCGAGCGTGCCACATTTTTTGTACCCCTTTTGACGTCATAAGCGCTATTTAGTGATGGGAAACCTCCTTCAGCACTAAAGAGATTGATTAAATCGAAGACGCGGACGCAACACGTATTTAGAATAATCGCTATTCAAGTATTTGTTAATTATAAGAAGCCGTGACATATTAATATATCAAAATAATATCAGAATAAGATAATTAAGTCCTTTGTTAATACGTGTTTTGAAAAAAAAGTTGCAACGTATATATCGAGTTCTTAGATTGTCGCTATTGTTAGTAATAGAAAATTAAACTATTTTTCAAACAAACCTATACGTATGGTTTGTTTGAAAAAACAAATATACGCGATTTAAAACCGGAAAAATAGTTCCATTTCCTATTGCGACGTACAACTAAAAAAAAACATCAATTAGACTTAATAGAATAAGAATTATCATCCCTTTGTTTTCTAAATCGTTTAGAATCGAGGTCTGTTTTGCAACAAGTGAAGTAAAATTTGACCAAAAATATGACGACGCGGCTGAACCACGAAACAAGCCACGGCGGTAACGGGGATTCCTTGACTCGTATTAATGGGTTTCCCTAGTGCGGGGCTGTGAGTGTGTGCAAAAAAAAAATACACAGCCTCACTGGCCCTCCCTTACCTCCTGGCCTATGCAATAATGTACTATACACAAACAGACTTTAATTTATTAATATTTATTAATTATTTAAGATAGGTTATTATTTATTTGGTAAAATGCGGAGTGCATTTTACATTGGTGCAGCAAGCGAACAGTTAGCTACAGGTGAAGACTCGGGGTCGTATTCCAGAACTCTACTCAATACTCAAGTCAGGACTTGAGTATTACAGTGAGCACTGAAAATCATACTCAAGTCCTTGCCAATTAGGGTCGTATTTCCAGTGCTTGAAATCATACTCAAGTCTGCTCAAATCCTGACTTGAGCATTGCGTAGAGTTCTAGAATACGACCCTGAAATTCAATAATGCTGAGTCTTTAAACTTTTTGTTCACATCACTCAACAGTACGTATTTTTAACCGGCTTCAAAAGGGAGGTTTCTCAAATCGGTTGTATGTTTCTTTTTTTGTATGTATGTTGATATTTGTGGTCCGGTTTTGATGATTCTTCTTTTGTTAGAAAGAGGATCCCTCAGCAGTGGTCCCATTTAAATTTCAAGAATTTATTCTACCGCTAAGTGTGTCGTGTTTTTAGTACCCTGTACTAAAAAAACCACTGACGTTATTTATTAGTTTTTAAGTATTGTGTTTTCTATGTTTTGTAGATAAATAAATGTCTTTTTATTTAATTTTATTTGTTTTAAACGCGCACTTATTTACGCGTATAAAAAAATAAAACATAATTATTGTTGTTACAGACTCGGCGCTGTACGCTCACTATGTGTTCAAAGCCTTCGACGTGAATTGCAGTGGAGCTATCAGCTTTAGAGTGAGTACTTCAATATATTTCTACTTCCTAAATGAAAATTGAACTAGGGATTCGAACCGATGGCCTCTCATTTGAAAAACAACCGCTCTCTCACTAGGCTACCACATCGCTCTTTAGCTTTTAAAGCTTTTTCTTTAAAATTGCTGTAGTCTGTAAAAGCTCTATAAAAGTTTGTTATAATTATTAATACAAAGATCGTACACTCAGAAAAAATTTCTTCCATCCGGCCGGATTCGAACCGACCTCTTCTAGCATACCGTGGCAGACGCTATACCAACTAAGCCACGGAACGAAGCAGCGGACCTCACGATTTTTTCTATATTTGTTGTCGTGTCTTTGTATTTGGTTTTTTGAACGACTTTTTAGCCGTAGCGCCATCTATGAGAATTTTAAGTATCTCGTCACCCAATTAGATACCTTTACAGCTACCAGCCCTGGCTAGAGATGTCGCTCTTCATTGTATTTAAATTTTTTTTATTGAATTGATGTTCAATTATAATCTATAAAAGCTTATAGTAGTAGTGGTAGAGCTTCTTGTGAAAGAGTTCGTCCAAGGTAGTGCTGCCACGTTACCTATTTCCATCGCCAAGTAATAATTTGGGTGCTGGTGATATTACAGGCACATGGTGTCGTGCAGCGGATGGTAAACTACACGCTTATCCATAACAGTTGCAATGCCACTCAGACATTGACTTACAAATAAATGGACGACGGGTCTAATACAAAAACCACGAAAAAAATGTCCCAAGTCAACCTATTTAAACGTAGTGACATGTAAAGGAATATGAAAAAGCTAAAACGTTGAATTTAAATTGTAATGTCATCGCAGTACTGTCTAATTCTGCTTGCTTCGCTGTCAGTCGAACAAACGAAGACTAAAGCGTGAATGACGCTCTGTATACGGTTTTAACGCCCTATAAGTTCGGACACTTTTTAGCGCGGACCCGACGTCCATATAATTGTAAGTCAATGCACTCAGAGCTTTAAATCACAAAGATCTGAGGGTCACTGCCACTGAACCCGTCACTATACATAAGTCGATAAGTCCCATGTGCCTGTAATTTCAACAGCACCCTTGCCCTTCTAAACCGAACCACATTACTACTTGGCGGCAGAAATAGGTAAGGCAGTACTTCCCTGGACGAACTCTATCATACGGAGGTTTACTGCTACGAAAAGGAAACGAAAGGAAAATTTTCCCCATATTATACATCACGTAGTTATATGTAGCGACAAAATGTGAAAACTTGAGCCTAATCAATGCGAAGCACCCTCTGTAATGTGCTTGTTTTGATCGTAGATACGCCGCGTTCGCCTACAGACGTTCCAATAAATTTTTAAGAGTTACTTTATCGTTTTATTGGCCTTCTTAGCAAGGAGATATGTTATCGCTGACAAGCATTTTTGGCAGTGACATAATAGCAGTCGACAGAGTTGCAGTTTAACATTAAGAGTCGTATTCCAGAACTCTACTCAATGCTCAAGTCAGGATTTGAGTATGATTTCAAGCACTGGAAATACGACCCTATCCGCTCACGCGATACATGCAGCCGTAGACGCATACCACACGTAGAGGTGCCGGTGACGATTTTATAGCGATTTATCGGATATCGAAGTTATAACAGGTAAAAGAACTAATACTAATTGCTATTTCGGTAACTACTCTAGCAAACCATAAAGTTTTTAATGCCTGGGTTTGTCATTTAAAAAAAATAAACAACTTCAAAAATACGTCACGACAATCGTGTGTGTTATTGTTTGGGCTGGCGATTTCGGTGTTTATTTATTGAAAACATACCGTAAGTAGCGTTTCTTAATATTACCCTGAATATAAATGTTTATAAACTAAACTTTAAGGAGTAATTTCATGGTAAACATTAGAACCACTCAAACGGAATATTATCATATTTACCCAAGTACACCAAAAATTTCATTAGTGCTTTTTAAGTGCAGGATTTGCGGTGTATTACTGCATTTTATTTCAGATGTTTTTGTTGTAGTACGGAGCATATTTATTTAGCAATGCAGAATAATAATTTTTATTTATAAAAACTTGTATTTAAACAGAATCCTTTTCTAATTTGCGAAACCAAATAGCCGCCATTTTGCGGTAGGATGAGCGCATCGCGTGAGCGGCTAATGGCAAGGACTTGAGTATGGTTTCTAGTGCTTTAAATCATACTCAAGTCCTGACTTGAGCATTGAGTAGAGTTCTGGTATACGAACCTTAGACTATTTTTCCATCCTCTAAGGTTTAACAGAATGCAGTAGGCAAAGAGTTTTTTTTTAAATATTAGTATTATGGGTGACAGGGTGAACAAGTCGTGCGCCCGGTGTTAAGCGACACGCCTATCCATAACAGTTGCAGTGCCATTCAGAGTTTTAATTCACTAAGATCTGAGGGGCACTGCCACTGCGCCCGTCACCCTGAGACGTTACTTGACAAGTCGAATGTGCCTGTAATTTCACCATTACCCCTTACCCTTCCAAACCGGAACGCATTAATTCTCATATTAGTGCTTGGCGGTAGAAATAGGTAAGATGGCAATACTATTCTCCATGAACTCTTTCACAAGGTTTTGTTACTTGGTTTCATAAAAAAAGTAATTGTGTTAAATGTGAAATAATGTGAACTGGAGATCTAGGATTTGGCGATTGGTGTAAGCACGGTCCTTTTACCCCTTTACTTGCGTGCTCACCTCTTCTGGATTTCGAGCTATGGAAGTGTTACGGACGGCCGTGCGCGCCTGGCCGGTCAGAGCTAGAATTGAGAGGAAAATGAATAATTCAGGAGCTCTGATTGGCCGAGCGGCGTAGCAACCAATTGATAGGACCGGTACGGTGTGGGAGACACCGTACCGGTATAAGTATAAGCGAATATTGGTATTTGTGTTCATTTCCAGTCGTAGGGTACAAAACCTCACCCCGATCTCGCTCTTTCTCACCTTGGGTGAACACGGTCAAATACTTAAGAGTTACGCTCGACAGGAAGCTGTCATTCAAAGCACACGTGACAACCGTCCGCGATCGCGCCTACTTTGTTATGAGCCGGCTCCACCCCCCTCTCCCTTCGTAAGAAGGTGAGATTGTACACGACCTGCATCCGCCCAATCATGACGTACGCCAATGTCGCTCAGTTCACTCAGGCAAATCCCGCTTATACACCGCCTGCAGGCTCTCCAAAATAGATTCATGCGAAACGCGACGGTACCCCGTGGTACCTGCGCAACGCTAACCTCCATATAGATTTACGGCTGCCCACAATAGCCCAATTCATGGAACAGGCATCGAGGAAATACTTCGACTCTGCTCCTCACTACCCCAAACCCTCGTGGTGGCTGCATCCAACTACGACCCCCTCAGGAAACACTTCCATCACGTACGTATGGCCCATCGGCCAAGGGAAGTCCTCAACGATCCTGACGACCCTATCACTCTCGCCTCTTTGAAGGCCGACTAGATCGCTAGTCAGTCCCGTCCCTCACGCACCAACCGTCCTCGCCGGCGAGGTCGCAGAACCCCTCACTTCAGCACGTATAGTGGTAGATTCTCTCTTATAGCACGTCCTTCTGGTGGAAGTCTTTAGTAGCGCCCTGAGCCGAGGTCCGTGCCCACTTGGACGCTCTCAGGCTCGCTACTTAGATTTAAGTTTATTTTGTAGTTTATGTTGCGGGTTATGAGCCTTCAGCTCGCCCTTTTCTTCCGGTGGCGCAGTCAAGGCCATCAGCAGCCAACAGCAAAGTGTCCCAAAAAAAAATGTGGTCATTTGCATTCTTTCATTCTTTCGCTCTTAGTAGTAAGACGTGTTCATGTTGTAAGTCAGATAGACAAGTTTTTATAAGAATATACAGTCCACTTCTCAGATTAAGGAGTTTCATTTCGAAGAAAAGGATATCGAGAGCGGTTCCCAATTGATTACGGATCGGCGCCGTTCATTACAGGAAGGTAATTCAACATTTTCAATATATATATCGTCACCAACTCTCTTTAAAAAAGGTTTAAAAACGGAATTTTCAGCATAATATTAAAACCGTTAACGAGAACACAAAAAGTGCCGGTCATCAGTAATGAACAGCTTATTTTATGATGAAATATTTGAGATCGTTTTCTGGTACGTTAAACAACAACTTTGTGCGATATTTTAAAGACAATAAAACGCCCATCACGGCACGGGTCTTCTCAGAGAATAGGATTTAAAAGTCTAAGTCAAACAATCATTATTTCTTATGTAAGCGTATTATACCTGAAATCGTCAAATTGATTAAACTCTACTGCACGTACGTAAGGCAGATCCCATGGACACGCACAATAGACAACCACAAATTACACCCAAGCTCATGAGAGAACCAAATCGCATCGATATAAACCACTTTGAAAATCATCGGCTAAAGCATTTGCAATCCATTCATCTTTCGACCTATTTTTGGTTACATATGCAAATGGTTCAAACAATACTAAAGAGGGTCAGTGAACTCTGATTCCTGGTAACAAAGATTGCCTTCCCTGACCGGGTTAAAAATTTTATTATCTCGTATTTCCTTATGTCAAATTATTTGGCAGAATATTTGCCTTTCACACAAAAGCTCCGAATTCATTTCGTAATTCTGCCTACTTATATTTTTATTTTAGTTTTGTAACAAACGTACTTTATGTATTAAGTTCCCTAAGAAT